TTTTAAATTATTACGCCTGGAAGTTCCCCTGCCTGAATACTACTATTACTACTAATAATAATAAGCGCAGTGAGTACCATCTAACTCGCACCATTTCCTGGGCCCTGAGCCGAGGGACTCTGTATCCTCAGTCCATCCTCAAGGATTCCTGTTATTTCCCATTGGCAGAGGAGACACAGGGGATCAGAGAGGTTAAGCGACTTGCCTAGGGTCACCCAGCAATTGGAAGACCAAGGGAGTCAACTCAGGTCCCTACAAGTCCTTCCCCAACAAAATGGGGCGCAGCCATTTGAGCCGCTTAAGACTCGTCCAAGTGTCAGTTCCTGTGACGTTCCCGCAGACACCAGGAAGCGAGACGGCTCCTTTGGGTGCTGCGGGAGGCGGCGTGGAGACGGCCGGCCAGCGACGCCTCCGCCCTTCCTTGCCTTCCAACTGTCCGGTCCCAAGTCCCCCCAGAAGCGCAGAGAACAAACCGAAGGCGACAGTTCACTTTATTTTGCCGCGATGCCCTGATTTTTCCACCCTCTTCTCTTCTGTTTCATTAAAGCAAAAAAAAAAAAATAGTCCTGGTTGCCACCCACAGCGTGGATGCTGTGACTCACGAACGGGTCATAACTCGAAAGTCTGAAAAACTCCCCCGGAAGCCCCCTCTTTGCAGCCCGATGCCGTCCTGAAGCCACGAGGGATCCTGGGGCCTCTCCAGGGACCCCACCCTGCCACGCACAGCTCCCGGGCAGAAGCGGGGAGCGGGCTGCTGTAGGGAACCCCCCAAAGGCGGCACAGCCCAGACAGGAAGTGGCAGCTTCCTCCCTCCCGGCCTTGGAGGAGGAAGTGGAACCGGGCAGATGCCAGGCGGGAACCGGGTGAGCCCTGCCGAGCCCCGGCCACCGCACGGCAGCCCGAGCCGTGCCATCTGTGGGGGATCCTCCCTCCCCAGGAAACGGGCAGCTACAGCGGGTGGCGAGAAGGCTCGGCGTCCAAGTCTGGCTCTGGCCGGATAAATTCTGCTGCGTCCCCCTAGCCTCAGTTTCCCCACCTGTCACTGGGTTCCGGTGGGTTTTCTCTCCCTGAGGCAGACGACCAGGGCAGTCAGGTGCCACAGAATTTGGAGCCAGAATTCTAGGTTTGTGTCCCAGCTGTGTGACCTTGGGCAAGTTGCTCCCCCTCTCTGGGCCTCAGTTTCCCCATCTGGGGTCCTAGGAGGACCTATCTCAGAGTGCTAAGGACACAGCTGCCTCCTCTCGTGCCCTTATTCTGTCTCTTCCCCGTCCCCAGCATGGTGTTTACTTCATGTCAGGGACAGACCTGCCCTTCCCCTGGTCCCCTTCCTCAGAAGGACCAGCCACCTCCAGGAAAGAAAGAAGTTTTGGATTCGATTCCTGTTTCCAAGAAGAGAGGGAGGTTTAGAGGCAGCCCTCAGGACTGGGACGGGGTGGCCTAAACCACAGCACGAGGTGCCACCGTCAGCGCTCGGGGACATAGACTGTCTCCCGAGCCCCACATCGCTAGAAGGGGCGTCCTGATTTGGGGCTAGCTGAGCAGGGCTCAGCGGGGTGTGGGTGGAGGACATTCCCAGGTGCAGGAAGATATGGTACAACATCCGGGGAACATCTCCTCTGAAACAGGATTCATTCATTCATTCATTCATTCACTCACTCATGAAGCATCGATGGGGCATCCACTGTGTGTCAGGCTCACTGTACACCTGTCCCAGATGCTGGGGACAGAGGAGTGGGTAAGGACATCCACTAGCGAGGGCTACGGAGAAAAATCAAACGGAGGAAGGGGAGGGGGAATGACAGGGCTGTCTTTGTAGCCAGGGTAGCTGGAGAAAACTTCTCTGAGGAGGTGACACTTGGGCTGAGACCTGTATGGCATGGAAGGGCCAGCCCTACAAAGGCTGGGATGATGCTGAGAGCTCTCGACAGGAAGAATTGCAAGTGCAAAGGCCCTGGGGTGGGGAAAATGAACCCAAGCTGTGCAAGGAAAGATCTCCAAAACTGACAACACCCTAGCCCGATGGATCAAGAAAAAAGGAGACAAGACACAAAGGACAGATTATCGAGAATGAAAGAGGGGCCATCACTACGGATCCTACAGTCAGCAACACGGGGACATTATAAACAATTTTATGCCAATAATGTCGACAACTAAGACTAAATGGACAAAATTCTTTGAAAGACACAACGGACTGAAGCTCACTCAAGAAGTAGTAGACAGCCTAAATTGCCTTATGTATTGAAAATAATGAAATAAGGCATATTAATATATCATACATTATTAATATAATAACAGCCAATCTATTAAAGACATCAAATAGAGATATCTATTCAAGACATTAAGTTCTTAACTAGAAACCTTCCAAGCTCAGATGGTTTCATTGATGATGCTACCAAATATTTAAGGAAAAAGGGGCCAGGTACGGTGGCTCACACCTGTAATCCAAGCACTTTGGGAGGCCAGGAGTTTGAGACCAGCCTGAGCAACATAGCAAGACCCTGTCTTTGCAAAAAATAAGAAAAACTAGCCAGGTCTGGTGGCTGCACCTATAGTCCCAGCTACTTGGGAGGCTAAGGCAGGAGGATCGCTTGAACCCAGGAGTTGCAGGCTGCAGTGAGCTATGATGACGCCACTGCACTCCAGCCTGGGGAACAAAGTGAGACCTTGTCTCAAAAAATAAAAATAAAGAAAAAGGCAAAAGGGAAATGCGAAGCAAGGGCAGAATGACCTCACGGGGAGGGCACACGCGAGGGCAGAAGATCTGGGACAGCCAGCCCCCAGCACAGGACTCAGGGATCCCAGGAGACCCCCCAAGGCCAGCGTCCCTAGGCTTAGGCAGCCAGAACCACAAGCAGGGGACGGAGGCTGGGAAACCAAGACACAGGAGCCACCAGACCCTGAGGTTTCAGAGTTGAGAATCTCAGAGCCTTAAAATCCTCACCGACAGCGACGCCAGAGCCTCTCCTCCCACTCCGAGCCTCCGCCACGGCCTCCCTCCCAGTGTACTCAGCACATCTTGAATGAACGAACCAATCAATCAACGAGTCCCAGCCCCCAAACAAACCCTGGACAAGGCCTCCCCAGCCGTGCCAGGGAGACAGAGACCAGAGGGGGAGCCGCGGGCCCTGCAGGGACAGGGAGCACCGGAGCCAGCCTCTCCCTTGCGGGCGGACGGGTGCCTGGGCGGCTGCACGGGAGCTCATCATTCCGGTCCCATGACACAGGCAGGTAGGGCAGGTCCTGCCGAGCCACGCTGGCTCAGGCCTGGGACCAGGAACTTGGCCTCTCTAGCCTCATTCTGTGCGCCCGGAAAATGGGCTGCCGGGATCTCCCTGCCCCCAGGGTGGCGAGGGCACCCGACCCAGCCTGGTCCTCCTCCTCCTTCTCCTCCTCCTCCTCCTCACCCGCCGGCCCTGGACTCACCCAGCAGCAGCAGCTTCAGCTCGCCCCGGTCTTGCCTCTTCTGTTCCAGAAGGAGTCTGTTTATCTCCTGGTCCACTCGGGCCGCAGCCTTCTCGTCCTCCGACAGGCACCAGGGGCAGCAGCGCCAGGTCAGCGAGCGGGCCATAGTGTGGGGGCCTCAGAGGACACCAGGTGGCATTGTCCCCGGCCCCCCACTGCCCAGGCTGCCCCCAGGGCATGCAAGGTGGGGGGGCCACCTTCTTCTTGGGGGGGTCACTCCCCTGGGACCTCTGTACCTGCGACACCCGGGAGCCCGGCTCGGCGGGGCGGAGAGGGCTGAGTGCTGGGAACAGGGCGGGGGCGCGAGGAGGCAGGAGGTGGGGAGGCCCAGGGCTCCGCCTGCCTCCCGGTCCTGCCCAGACCCGGCCCAACAGGTTCGCAGCCAAGGGCGCAGGGGAGGAGAGATGGGGGCCCAGGCAGGGTGGGGCGGCGGCGGGAAAACCCCACCACACACTGGTCCCGCGTGCTGGTGTCCGGCAGGGCCTCCTTCCTCATTCTGGAGAAGGGGCGGCCTCTCCGCCCGGCCTCCCGGGCCAGCCCCCAGCTGCCCCCCTCCTCCGGACCAATTAGGAACCGGCATCTCGATGCTACTGCCGGAGCCAAGCCAGGCGGCACGTACCGCTTTGAGTGCGTCTGTCTGTGTGTCGCGTCACCCTGTACTTACTGTTGTCATCGCCGGTTGACAGATCGGGAAACTGAGGCACAGAGGATAGAGCGACTTGTCTGGGGCTGGGCGGAGACAGAGCCGGGGACCATCTCTCACCAGTGGGGCCCCCGAGTCTAGATGCCACAGCGGGCACCTTTGGGGAAGGGACCGCCCCTTCATTCTGCAAGCATTTATGGAGCACCTACTGTGTGCCAGCATTTATGGAGCACCTACTGTGTGCCAAGCATGGGGCTGAAAGGACACAAATCCCTGACCTCCCTGCCTAATGCTCTAGTTGGAGAAACAGATAATAAAATTAATTTTTTTAAAAAAAATCTGAGACCGGGCACGGTGGCTCACACCTGTAATCCCAGAGCTTTGGGAGGCTGAGGCGGGAGGATCGCTTGAGCCCAGGAGTTGGAGGCTGCAAGTGGATGATGCCACTGCACTCCAGCCTAGGCGACAGAGTGAGGCTCTGTCTCAAAAAAAATAACAATAATAAAATAATATAAAATAAAATAACTCTGATTCCAAGTTGAGATGATGTAATCTGGACATATGAGCTTAAATAAAATATATCATTAAGATTAAACATTTATATATGTCTGAACCTCTTAGATGGTGATAAATTCTGAGCGAGGGCCTCAGGGCCCTGCATGTGGGCTGGGGGGGCGGGAATATGGCTGCTTTCTAGACACAGCTAAAGGGGAGCTTATCTCTGTGTTTGGGTACAGAGCCTTCTTTGAGAGGCTCTAGAAAATTCTAGAAAGTTCAGGATCAACTCCACCCCTCTGCCCTCCATAGCCTTTGGTCCCCTCACAGGTGGGTCAGTAGCACAGCTCAGAGGCAGTGAGTGAGGTGCCCGGGGTCACAGAGCCATGGGCGGTGACAGTCTCCCTCCTCCCCCACACCCGTGCTCGGAGGCGGCCGTTGATGGCGGAGCCCGGGCCAGCCCAGCACAAACATGTGGTTTTCTTTGCTGTTGGTTTGTAACGAATGGCAGATGGGAAATGTGATAGAGGCCCCGGTCCCTGGGGCCAGTGGGTGCTACCCTGCCCCCAGCTGGATGGCTGTGAGGAGGGGCACTCCCTCTCTGGGGCAGGAACGCAGAAATAGGTCGCCACATAGAACAGAAATAACCAGCAAAACTGGGAGTCCAGGCTGAGTCACGGGACTCAGGGGCGAGCACAGAGGGCCACCCCTCCTGGCGTCTCCGTGCCGCTGTCCACTTCTGGACAGGACCCCAGCACCCCCAGCATGTGCCAGTCTGCCCCAGGGTGGCAGAGCCTTACTTTAACACCTCCCATGGCTCCCGCTGGCCTCAGAACAAACCGCCCGGCTCCCCGGATCCACCCGGCCGGGGCCCAGCCTCTGCTCACTTCCCCAACTTCTAAACACGGCTTCCTTTCGTCCCCAAACCGCGGAACTACTTCCCTTCCACGCGCCCGGCACCGTCCGGAACATGTGTCCTGTATTATTAGTTATTAAAGTGATTTGGGAATACCAGGGTGAGCGTGTGTATAAAATATTAAGAAGAAAACGCATAAAACACAAATTATAACTGAAAAAAATGTTAACGCCAGGATCCACCGACACCAGGACTAAAGGCATCATCTGCCCCATCCAAACTCCCCAAGATCCTTCCCAGTAGAAACCTCCTCCTTCCCCACAGCAATAACTTATTTTTCTAACTTAAGGTATTAATTTCTGTGTTTGGGGGGGGTATTTTTTGGTCGTCAGATTTATTTTGGTTTTCATTTTTTAAATTTATGTAGCGACGTATTCCCTTTCTTTGGTGCACGGTTGTGAATGCGTGTAAGTTACCACTCTGCACAGGACACAAAATGGAGTTCAGTCGCCTGAAAAACTCCCTCCTAATGAGTCGATTGGCTCATTGTTGCTGTGGTTTTTATCTTTTATTTTTAAGAGGTGAGATCTTGCTATGTTGCCCAGGCTGGACTCAAAACTCCCAGGCTCAAGCGATCCTCCCGCCTCAGCCTCCCGATGGCTGAGATTACAGGCGGGAGCCACCGCTCCAGTTGCTCTCCTTTCCTGCCAACACTTGGTATTGCCGGTATGTTTTTTAGCCATGTGTAATGGTATCTCATAAATGGATTTACATTGCATTTCCCTGATGACTAATGAGGTCCAGTGTCTTTTCACACGTCTGTTTGCCAACCTTCTATCTTCTTGGGTGAAATGTCTGTTGAAATACTTTGTCATTTTCTTCATTGGTTTGTTTTCAAAACAAACAAAAGCAGGTGCGCAAGCAGATGTCGCGCACCCGTGCTCACAGCGGCAGCATCTGCGATACTGAAACGTGGAAGCAACTCAAGTGTCCGTCAACAGATGGATGGACACGCACGACGTGGTCCATCCACACGTGGAACATCACTCAGCCACGAAAAGGGACGAGGCTCTGACACAGGCCACAGCGTGGAGGGACCTTGAGGACATCGTGCTCAGCGAGAGACGCCAGACACAGAAGGACACATCCCGTGTGACTCCACTCACAGGAGGTCCCCAGAGGCGTCAGATCCACAGAGGCAGGAAGCAGGATGGTGGGTGCCAGGGGCTGGGGAGGGGGTGGGGAGTGTTTCATGGCGACAGAGTCCGTTTGGGGAGATGAGAAGGTTCTGGAGACGGAGGGTGGTGAAGGCTGCACAGCAATGCGAATGTGCTTAATGCCACTGAGCTGTGCACTTAAAAATGGTTAAAATGGTAAATGTCGTGGTCTGTTTAATTCTACCATTTAAAAAAGTGTTACCTTTTTCCTTTTGCAGGGGAATTCGTTCCAGACTGGCCCCAGGGACAGCTTCTCCTCATGGGCTTCCCGCCTTGGTGACGCACAGGTGACCGTCACAGCCGGGAGCACACCTGGGTCGGGGACAGTCACCCGGCACTGCGGTGGCTGCACCAGCACGTGGCGAGGACCCCCTTGCTCTTCCCATCTTGCCTGTCCCAAGCCAGCCGTGGAGGGTCACCTGGGGTCCCCGTGGGATCTGAGGGGGCCTCGACTGCAGCCTGCTGCCCTCTGCCCCACCATCCCCAGCCCCTTGCAGAGGGACCCTCAAGAGCTGTCACCATGCAATTTCCTGCCCCCAGGCCTGCTTCCAGGGACCCCAGCTGAGCAGGGGACACCCTGTGACGGGACAGCATGGCTGGAGTACTGGAAGTCGTGGACGCCTGCTTGGGGGCGTCCCAGCACCATGCACACCCCTGATCTTGGCGTGGGGATTTCAGCCCTGACCTCCCCGCCACCAGGCATCCCCACAGCCAGGAACTGGTCTCCCTCTGCGCTGTGTCCCCGCAAACGGCCGGCCCAGGGCGCAGGGAGGGAGGGAGGCGCCGGCTGGAAGTTGAGAGGGTTTGGATCGCGACGGGCCTGCGGCTGAGTCACCACCATATCAGGCACGTGTCCACCCCTGGAAAACCGCTGCTGGAGCACTCGGGGAGCCCAGAGAAAGCGGAAGGCTGGGCTGGGCCGGCCCCTGGGCTTGCGACCCGAGCCCGGTGGCTTTCATGCTCTGTCGTTGCCTGTCTTGAAATTCCGGGGGATTTTTTAACAAGGTCCCTGGGTTTTCACTCTGCTCCCCGCTACGGGTTGTACAGTGGGCGCCGGCCAGGGCAGGGCCGCCCCCAGGGCCAGGCTGCCTCGGGTGAGGGGCTCACCTTCTGTGCCTCAGTTTCCCTTCTAGAACGGGGATCATGAGAGGACCCCCTCCTGGGGGGGATGTGACTTCCAGCAAGCAGGGCGCCAGGGCAGCAAGGACAGCAGAGGGTCCGCCTCGGGCGACACCTGCTGGACACTGGAGGCACAATGCCCGCCTGCAACACGCACGTGGGCCCGACTGCCCCCCAGCACCCGACACCCCCAGTCTGACACCCTCACCTGTGCTCCTGCCACCTGTTCATCACCCACCCGACCAGCCCCGTCCCTTCCGCCCTGTCCTGCCCCACCCCCGCTCCCACCCTCCCCCACCGCCACTGTCTGTCCTCACTGGAGCTGCCACCAGAGGGCGCCTATGAGCACCTGAGTCAGAGCCTGTCCCTCCGCCACCACAGCCCTCCATGGCTCCCACCTTCCTTGGGGGTCAAAGCCCAAGTCCTCCCTGCAGCCCACCTGGCCGTGCATGACCTGCCCTGTCCTCTCCCTGCCCTCCCCTCCTCCCTCTCTCCGCCTCCTCACTCTGCTCCAGCCACACGGGCCTCCTCGCTGTCCCACCCCAGGACCTTTGCACGGCTGAGCTCTTCCCCTGGAACACCTTCCCTGGTTGACAGTGTGGCTCCTTCCTTCAGGTCTCCGGGGATCCTACTTGTACGCCACCTTCTCGGAGGCCCTTCCTGAACAGCCTGGCAACCACGGCCGCCATCGCCCACCCTGGCCCCTGCCCCCAGCAAGGTGGCATTTCTCAGGCGGACGCTCTGGCCAGGTGTGAGCCAAATGAACCTGAAGTCGGGCCCACGTAGGATGACCCCTGAGGTCTCCAGGGCGCTGTGCCACCGTGCCAGGGGCACCCGGACAGCCGCGGGGGGCAGCAGGCGACGCTCTCAGGGCTTCCGCCCCCCCCCCCCCACTGCTGGCAGCAAGAAACAAAGCGGAAGGGGCTACAGCGTTTAGGAACAAAATTTATTCCAATTTAAAACAGAATTCGTTTCAGGAGAGAGATATGAAAAGGCGATTTCCGTCAGGCATCTCCGGATGACGGGGTCGGGCCCGCGGGCCCCGAGAGGCCGGCGCGGAGCTGGTCCGCATGCCCCGCCCTGCCTCCCACCCCAGCACGACACATGCATTTCAAATGACAAAGGTCTAAAAACAGCTTTTTATAGAATATTCTCTTTTAAATAGGTTAAGGTTTAAATTGTCTGAAATCAGGACTGTGTAATATACAAGTGTCACTGGGTCACGTCCACCAGGCTGGCCCCACGGGCTGTCGCCACCTCCAGGGACACTGGCACTAGGACGCCTCTCTGGGGGCACCCAGGGCGCAGGCCTCGCTGTGGCCGGGACTGCTGCCGCCGGGACATGACAGTCGGAGGAGGCCGGCACCCCGAGAAAGCGTTCACAGAGGGCAGCGTCGCGGAGGAGCAGACACCCCACACGGGGCAGCTGCCCCCGGCCCCGGGCGCCAGCACGTGGGCAAGGGTGGCACGGGCACAAGAGCGACTGTCCGGGACTCTCCCGGGGCATGGCACTGCCCTCTGCCCTGAGATCAGGCACTCTGGGCTCTGGAGACCGTGGCGCGCGGCCGCGCTCCGGAAGGGCGAGCACTGACCGCGCAGGCGGCCGCGGCCCGCGTGCCCACCGTCTCCACCCCCGGGCCAAGTCCAGTTCCCGTTTTGTGATCTGGACCCTTCAGAGACGCCGAGACGCCCACCCCGCGGGGACCCCAAGCTCCCCGGGGCGGATCCACTGCCAGCAATGGACGCGGTGGCCACCCCGGGCACTGCCCGCCCCGGCCCCCGCTGTGGGGCGTTACAGCACAAACGCATGTGGCACAAAGAGGAGGCTTCGGGGAGGGACAAGAGGGAAGCTGGCGTGAGGAAGCTGGGGGTCCCCGAGGCACCCTCTGCCCCAGCAGGGCAGACCCCCAGGAATGCGGCTGCCCCACACCCACCTGTCCCCGCCACACTGCAGAGGGCGCCCCACGGGGAGCGGCTGGGCACACGGGGACCCCCAGAGCTGCTTGCCCGGCTCGGCCGACTTCTGAGTTGTTCCTGGAATTCGTCAACGGCCCAAGGCAGCAGCCGCCGCGCAGCGTCCCCATGTCACAGTCGGGGCAAAGGCATCGCTGGCAATCTGTTCCCAGTACGATTGTGCAAAAAACCCCAAACCAACAGAACAAAACGGAAACGCTGTAGCGTTCAGTCTACAACAGATCAAAGAGCCACCTCTCCCCCCAAACAGCCCCCTGTTCCCTGCCTCCAGAGTCACTCGGGGAGAACCGGGGAGCATGGCTCAGTGCGCGGCCGTGGCCAGCCCAGCCTGGAAGCCACCCGGGGCCGGGTGCCAGCCGCTGCCTTCCACGTGCCGCGGCCAAAGTGCGAGTGCTGGCTGCCCGCCCCCCAGGGACACGGCTCGGGGGTGGGGCAAGTGCTTGGTACGAGGCCACGCACGGAACCGCACGGAACCGCCGGCGTCCGCTCCTCTCCCTGCCTCTCGGGGACAGACCTGAGAATATTCTGTAAAAGTCCCCACCTCACCGTCCCTGTTTCCAAACTGGCTATGACACAAAACGGAACAAAACAAACAGCGGTGCCCCCCACCCAGTGGCTTTTCTCCCGGACCACACGGGACTGTCCCTCCAGCCGCCCTTGCCCTGTCGCCTGGCCACGCGTGCTCCCGGGGGGGCCCTCCTCCAGCCAGGGAGGTGGCCCACGCGGCCCTCGGGAGCCCCAGGGGAGCCCTGAGCTGGCCGGACTTTGGCCCTGGAAAGGCAGCCGCAGCACCCCAAAGCCCCACGGCTGCAGCACGGGGAGACAGGCGTGCTCTGTTTCCTCAAAAAAAAAAAAAAAAAAAAAAAAAGGTTAGGCACTTCCCAGGGTGGGCAACTGGGGAGCCCCCCACCCCCTCTTCTTGGAGTCCAGTGAGCAACAGCACGGCGCAGTCGTGAGGGTGCGGGACGCTCGGGACAGCAATAACTTAAAACAAGGACAGGAGGTCAGTCCCCAAGTCCCCGCGCCTCTCGTGACTAACGAGAAAAAAAGGGGGGACAGAAAACGCACCCCGGCGTCTGAGGGCGGCCAAGAGGTGGCCTGGCGCGGCCTCGGGGCAGGGGGGCGGGCGCGGCTGGCGGGGGTCAGGTGAGGTCTGGAGTCGCGGGGGCACGGGGCACGCATGTTTCATCCGTTTCGGTTTTTTTTTTCTTTTTCTTTTTTTTTTTAGAAAAAAGCGAGCCACGAGTCATGGCCAGAAAAAGGTGCCTTTGCCGCCGAGGAAAGGTGCGAAGGTGCGCGAGGTGCGTAGAAAGAAAGACGTCCGTCCCCTGATACTGTGAAATAAAAACCAGTTGTTAAAAATATGAAAAAAAAAAAAAACAAGAAAACCCAGAAAACACCCCTCCTGTGGGCAGCGCCCGGCTTGGGGCGGGCGGCGCAGGAGGGGCGGCTGCCGGCAGAGGGGTCGCCGCACGCGCCCGGGTCAGACCAGGTTGTACTCCTTCAAGTTCAGCTGCAGGATGGTGTCCTTCACGGCCGCGAACACGAAGCGGATGTTCTCCGTGTCAGTGGCGCAGGTGAAGTGGGAGTAGATGATCTTGTCGCTGTCGGGGTTCAGGTCCACGAACATCTTCAGGATGAACTCCCGGGCAGCCTGCGCGTCCCGCTGGGGCCCTGAGGGGCGGGGAGGGCTGTGCTGAGCGAGGCCCGTAGCCCACCCCGCCCGGCCTGGCGCCTGCTGGGGCCCCCTGGCCAGCAGGCACAGCTCTGAACACGGGGCACTGGCCACGAGGACACGCTGTCCCGGTGAGCTGTGGTCTCCTGCCATGGCCCTCAGACCACAGCCCCCGCCTGGCCTTCGCCCGGCCCCCAAGCCAGCCCAGCCCCCCAGCCTCGCCCACCCTGCGGTGTTGCCGGGACCACCCTGTCGCTGGGGCTTCCACCTCCTTCCCCGTCCCCTCGCGCGCTTCCCCTAACAGCCACCCCCGGCCCACCTGGCCTCTCCGGCGCTCAGGCCCGCTCAGGCCACAGGCCGAGCTGCAGGGATCACAGATGATGGGCCCAGCATGGGTGCTGCCCCGCCCGCCATCCGCCTGACCCTCTAACGCGCCTGGACACAGATGCCCAGCACGGGCACCCCCAGAGGTGAGGAACGCTGGGCCCTGGGCCAGACGTGGACACAAAAGCAGCGCTCAGGTGGCGACGCCGCCAACACGGCCACGCGAGTAAGGGCCAGGCGACACCCTCCCCCGCCAAAACCCCCAGACCCAGAGGGGGTCCAGCGTGTGGAGACCCCAGCGCTTGGCCCTGTCCCAGCACAGCCCCATGGGGCGCAGGGACTGCAGGAGAACAAGCCCGAGCGCCCGGTTCCAGGTGCCCGGTGGGGACGGGCGAGGCAGGGTGCCCCTCCCATGGGAGCCCCCCCCGTGGGACCCCCCGACCCGCGCGGAGCGCCCCGCACCGTCGAACTCGGGGAAGTAGTCCACCAGGTGCGAGTGGAGGATCTTGTCCTCCAGCAGGTCCTTCTTGTTGAGGAAGAGGATGACGGAGGAGTTCTGGAACCACGGGTAGGTGATGATGGTCCGGAACAGCGCCTTGCTCTCCTCCATGCGGTTCTGCGGACGAACGGCAGCCTCGCAGGCGTCCACGGGCACAGACACTGCACCCCTGCACCCTTCCGCCCTCCACCCCTGCCCCTCTCCACCGGGGCCCAGCGGGTGGGAGGCGCTTGGCCCAGCCCAGCCTCAGCGCATCCCTGACGCAGGGGCAGACCCTGCAGAGGAAGGGCTGGCTCCCCAAGGTCACCCCGCTCAGGGGCAGAGCCCACCTCATTGTCCGACTCCACGAGGACTTGGTCGTATTCGCTGAGGGCCACGAGAAACATGATGGACGTCACGTTCTCGAAGCAGTGGATCCACTTCCTCCGCTCCGACCTCTGGCCCCCAACATCCACCATCCTGAAAGGACAGAGCACCGCAGAGGACTCAGCCACCGCGGCCGGCGCACAGCCCTGGCTGCACCCGCCGAGCCCTTCCCGCCAGAGACGGCTGGACGCCAGTGAGGGGCCAGGAGGGCGCCCCGGTCCGTGAGAGCCAGGCAGGCACTCCCTCCGTGAGCGGCGGGGACACGGCCGCCTTGCCTCTCCAGCCGCCTGGCAGGGAATCCTGAGACCATGGACCGGAGGGAGCGGGTGTTAGTGGCAGGTGTGTAAGGGACAGAATCCCAGTGGATTCTGGGTGGCGACGTGAAGCGAGGACCTGGGAGGCCACCTGGGAGCCCCCGCCCCGCCCCCGCCGTGCTGAGCCTGAAAATCCCCCGAGGGCAGAAGACCTCTCCCTGCACGGGGCAACGGGCACAGATGTTGGTCGCAGCGCCATCGACAAGAGGAAAAACCCGACACCGCAGAGTCGCTCCGCTCAGATCCCGGATGGATGGCAGGACCCCTGTGGCCGTGGCCGTGACGCAACGGTGGCCGCAGAGAGCCAGCCCGTGGCCCGCACGCTGGGCGGAAGAGGAGGTCACAGCACTTCCCGCCCCGCACGAGAAGCACCAAAGGCGATCCATCACCTCAGGCGCGGAAACGCGGGCGAGCGAAAGGTTACGAGCTCAGAGGTGGTGCGTGGGGACGACAGGTTCTCTTCTTGCTACCTGTGAATCTCCCAAGTTTTCTACGACGGGGGAAGATGCTGCGTTCTTCTCGCAAGAACACAAGGGCAGAGAGGGAGCGCGCCCCTCGGGCCCGGGGCCCAGACAGAGACCGACAGCGGCCCACGCGCAGCGCGGCAGGCACAGGTGGATGGCAGATGCGCCGGGTGACTCTAAGGGACAGGGCAGTGACCAGCCAAGGCCGGTACCCGGATGCCAGGCCACGCCAGCAGCTGCAGCGGGTCGGGAAGGACCATCGGTGCCCAGGGTGCAGGCCCCACAGCCTTCCCGGACCACAAGGCCTCCCCAGCGCGCCACGGCCGGCACGGGGCTGAGACCCAGGCCGCCAGGGCCCAGGCTCCTCCTCTCGTGCCCTGCGGCCATCATGCCACCACTTGATGCCTCCAGCTGGGGCCCTGCCCGCCCTCGCGCAGCTCAGGGGGACGATGGTGGTAGCAGCATGGGGCCCACGACACAGCTCTGCACCCAGCACAGAGGAGCCCAGGAAGCCCCTGGGAAGGAGGTGACACACCAGCCTGGCTCAGGGAGGGGACGGGATATTCCTCACAGAGGACACAGAAGGCCCAGGCTGAGGCGCTGTGAGGGGCACCCTGAGCTGTGAGCTGGAGTGGGGTCGGCCCCAAATGCGACACGACTGGTGTCCTTGTTTGGACACAGACAGCAGACAGGCACACGGAAGAACACCCGCGAACAGGGAGGCCGAGGTCGGGCTGGTGCTTCCACAAGTCAAGAAACACCAAAGAGGTTCCTTCCGGCCGCCACCAGGAGCTGGGAGGGGCCTGGGACAGACCCTCCCCCACAGTCTCAACAGGACCCAGCCCCCCACCCTGTGACCTCGGACTCCCGGCCTCGGAACTGAGACACTAAGTGTCGTCGTACGTCACCAGGGCTGTGCTGGTTTGTCACGGCAGCCCCAGGCCACGCGTGCACTTGGCCCTGGCACTCAGCAGCTCTGGACAGGCCGTGACCCCGCGTCTGGAGACCGCACACTGCGGGGCTGCGTTCTCGGGGACGGCTCCTCCCGGGAGGCCCCGTGCCAGGCCCCCAAGTCCCCCCTGCTCCTTCCTTGCACGTGCCCGATGACAGTCACTTACTGACGAATTCTATCTGCTGTCCGGGTCACACACTCCCTGAAGACCAGTGAGCCTTCTGCCACCACCCCGCCCGCCCCGGGTGCCAGTGGCGGGGGATGCACCTGAAGATGATGTTCTCCAGGTCGAAAGGGTACTCGATGATGCCCGTGGTGGGCACGCGCACCCGCAGCACGTCCTGCTGGCTGGGCAGGTAGCCCGAGGTGGCGATGCGGTCCACGTCCGTCAGGTAGCTAGGACGACACAGCGGGCGGGGCTGTCAGGCACCCAGGGGGTCTGGAGCAGCCGGGGGTGCTCAGAGCAAGACTGGGCCCGGGGTCGGGTGGGGGCTGCCAACCTGTCCCAGGCCAGAGGGAGCAGGTTCGTTCCCAGGGTCTTGGGGAACAGAAATGACCCGGAACGAGAAAAGCTGCCGGGCTGCGGATTCCAGCTGGTTTTCGGGAGCTTGTACTAGAGCTGCCCAAAGACAGACGGTCCCCAGCTCGGGGGGTTCCACAGACAGGCCTGGCTGGAGGGATGACTTTTTTTATATAAACTTATTAATATTATTTGAGAATAGTTTTTTTTCTCCCTGAGACAGGGTCTCACGCTGTCACCCGGGCTGGAGTGCAGTGGTGCCATCACAGCTCACTGCAGCCTCCAGCTCCTGGGCTCAAGCGATCCTCCTGCCTCGACCTCCCAGGGTGGTGGAATTACAGGCATGAGCCACCGTGCCCGGCCAAGAGTAGTTTTAGATTTACAGAAAGTTACAAATACAGAAAGTCCCCACAGGCATGGGTTTCCTGCTGCTCTCACCTCGCACGGGGTGTGGTATGTGCACAATCGATGAAGCAGCATCTACACGGCGTATTAACTGAGGCCCACACTTGATTCGGGCTTCCTCAGTTTCCCCCCATGCTCTATGCTTTCCCGGGGTCCATCCAGGACCCCATAGGACACTCAGTCATCCCATCTCCTCGGGCCCCTCTGGGCTCTGCCACAAGCTCCCGGAGGAGGAAACGCAAGGAGAACGGACAGGAGGGGACAGGCTGGCCCTGTCCGTCCATCAGGCCAGGCAGGGAGAGCAGTGCACAGCCTTGCCGCTGGGACCTCAGCGTGCGGTCTCGGCCCCAGTCACCCACTAAAGCACACGTCACCCCCTTATCCCAGGCTGGGGTGTGTCCACCCCATCCCACCAGCCCTCCTAGAGGACCTAGGTGTCTGGGAGCTCGGGACCCCGGGAGGGGCGGCAGGGCCAGGTGCACAGAGGCTGGGATGTCCCGTCGCGGGCGCCTGCTCTGTCCAGCGAGA